TGTTGTTACGTGGAACGATTCCAGGACGTTTTCAAAGCTGTTCGCTTTCTCTCTCCACCGAGGACGTAATTTTCCCACCCGGTAGCTCCGTGCATCTTCCTAATTATCCCGCCTTTGTCGGTATTACGGCCGCAGGTGGATATCGATTGTGAGTAACGTTTTGTATGAACCGCGGGTATCGTGTGCTTACACTGCAGCGAGGATGCAGTTTCAGATCTACTGCGAGTCCCGCATCGAAACGAATGATGAGCTGCCGAGCCCATTTTGACTTCTTCACGGTAGGGTCCTATACGAGGTGGCTAGATTCTGAACCCAGATAGAAACACTCTAACCTGCTCCACCTTATTGCACTCACTGCATGGGTTCCACTCTCCCCGATCCTTGTCATCCAGAAGATTAGCGCTCGCGTTTTCGATGCAAAGCAGCTGCACAGGCTCGATTTGGAGCTCTACATGGATGTATTGTCGATGGCGAGACGGTGGAGGTGGAATAGAATATGCGCTGGTTTTGTGGCTCCCGACAATGGAAGGCCGAGTCCGATGGCAGTAGAGGTAAGTCTGTCAACAATTTTCTTGGCATCTACTGAGAGTAGTTTCGCTCAGATCTGATTCATCTCGCCACAGCAGCTTGGCAACCGAGTCGCGCCATGTTCGGACGCCGTAAATCGAGCGGGAAATCAAACAATTGATGTCATTGTTTCGAGGCGGCTCGGTTGAAAGATATTGCTCGCTCAGGTATAAAAGGACCGCCGTCGCACCGATTCCTCAGAAACACACAACCCACTGCAATAACCCCCAGAAACATGTACTCCTTCATCTACCTCGCCATCCTCGTCGCGTCGTCAGCCATGGCCGGTCCATCCACCCACAACGCCCGCGCATCATGTGTGCATTGCGGAACGACCCAGGACGGTAGGCCTATACTACTTGTTGCCCCTGCAGCAATTCGGCGCTGACTACCCTTGCAGCCACCCTCTCCGACTGCCAGGCCCTCGTCACCACGGACACATGGAACGCTGCCTGGTCGGGAAAGTCCAACGCTTGCCAGTGCGTAATTTGATTCTTTCATCTATACTGCGCTTACATCCTCGCTAGCTGGGGCCTGGGCAACTTAGCCTACAATGTCGCATGCCACGGAAACTGTGCGTTGTCCAAGACATTCCGTTACTCAGCGAGCGCAACAGGACTGAGACGTCATTCACAGGTTGCACGTACTTCTCCATTCCCGGGGGTAATTTCCCCAATACTCTCGACCGAGACAGCATCCGAAACCGCGGTGAGTGTGACGGTCTGGTCGGCTGTGAATGCAGTTTTGACTCGAGCCAGCTGCGAGCCTGTTGGGCTGCGGCGACTCCGGAAAGAACAAGATCAACGGCCTCCAAGTTGCCTCTGGACCGGACAATAGCGGTGTCTGCCTTTCCAATGGCGATGGTTGCGGAGACTGCTTTGGTGAGTCACAGATGTCGAGCGCATGAATGGGTTTGTGCTAACTTTCTGGAAGACAACAGCGACTTTACAGGTGGCTGTAGCAACTGAATCGCATGGGCATTAGCATAATATAGGTGTTTTTTGACTCAATAATGATTGCAATATCCGTGATTTGGACACCATACCGGCGCCCCTATTTCGCCGCCAAAGATCTTGGACGTGAGGGTCAGTTACTACATTGGCCGCGAGGGATAGGTGAACAAAAACACTTCTGAGCCACAATACATATGCAGCTGCGGGGAGTCGAACACCGGGCTTGCCACTGAACCATTCGGTGCAAGCGCTCATGCATAAGGCGCGTGTACCGTAACCACCGGCGCTCCTCAGCAGGTAAGGCTACTTCCTACGAGGGAAATTTCTTGTCACATTAATTGATTGCGAGAGGGGTAAAAAAAGTTAACCATGATCTCCGAATGCACGGGCGAGGAGTCGAACCCCAGCCTCGCCATTGAAATTTTGCCTACAGGCACCGCGCGTATATCGTACACCACCAGCGCGATGTTCGTCAAGTAGGTTCTTTCATTATACAAAATCAGAAACAGACGCTGCATTTAACCATTGCTGGTCATCCCCATCCTTCCAAGACACGCGCCGGCGGGGAGTCGAACCACAAACTCGTTTGCCGTCATGTTCAATACATATAGGCATAGCGTGTGTACCATACACCACTGGCGCTCCTATACCCGCTCCTATACCGCAGGTAAGGATGTTTGCTGTGAGCTGCATCCACGGCGGCGTTTATCGATTCATCCCGCGATTATTGCGGAGGCAGATCGGTGTTCAAAATGCGTCCAGCGACCGCCTCTGTGGCTCTGGCGTGTCCCAGATCACTCCTAATCCAAAAAAAGGAAAGATGTGGAACTCGCGATATGCGCCAGTGGGGAGTCGATCCCCGGGCTCGCCTCCTCGTTCTCCGTGCAACTGGCGAAGAGACGAGGCGCGTGTACCGCACACCACCGGCGCCGGTGCTCTGGAGGTAAGGCTGCCTTCTATGAGCTACGTTACGCTTATGACAACTTTACTTAATTGGCTGGGGGAGGGTAAAAAAACGTTCGAAAGCCGACTACGGAAGCGCCGGGCTCGCCATTGAAACTCTATGAAAGCAGGCAGGGCGTGGTTATCTTCCACCACCAGTGCTCATACTGTGCAGATATACTTGCGCGCTATGAACGGCCCTAACGACACGATTCCGTACTAGTACATTCTGTTATTCTTGTCATTCCTGAATTCAATATTTTCTGGGAGATCCAACAGCGGTTATTAAGATATCGATACTATGTCGACAGGCGGGCTGAATCCGCGGCTTAAATGCATGTCGAATTCGTGGCGATAAGTTGGTTGAATTCTCGCGTGATAAGAAAAAGGGAAATTTCCACGAATTCCGGCTATGCACCGGCGGGGTCGAACCCCGAACCCGCCATTGAACTGCTGACCATTGGGGCATAGTAAACGGCACGGTAGGTGTGCCGTACACTACTGGTGCTGGTATTTAGCAGGGAGGTAAGCTGGGCATGGACTACATTTATGATAATACAGTATGATTCCGCGTTTCAATTTGGGATCGCGCAGGCGGCAAGCCATCACCCTCCTCCTATTTCCGCGGGCTAAAATTCGTTAATCAGCCTCGAGACCTTTTTATTAAATTTTCCATGGGCGACAGCCGCGATGCACCGCGAAGTAAGAACCCAACCAAGGCTCAGCCACCGGCAAAGTGCGAGCGCCGAATTGCCGTGCCGATTCAGAATGATCGCGTCATCATCTGATGCGCCCACTGCCTCTCGTCGCTGCTGAGACCACGATGCCCACATTCAAGGTCGTCATTATCGGCGCCTCCGGCCTCTTCAACCTTGGTACATCTCCGTGCGCTTCTCGACCTCCTACCGCGCCACCATCGGCGCCGACTCTATCACCAAGTCTCTCCCGCCGCCGCCCTCTGCTCCGCCAAACACCGAGCCTACCACCTTAAAAATCTGGGGCACCGCCGGGCCGTCTCTCACTTTATCTGGCGACGAGGACTCGGATGACGACACAGACGACCTCCCGTCCTCCGAGCTCACCGCGCATCTGGCACCCTTACCCCCGCCCGCGCCGCTCCCCATCTCGATCCTCCCCGCCTTCGCCCGCTCGAAATCCCGCTCACGCCCCCCTTTGAAGACGCGTCCACGCTGACGGTGTACCACACGCCGGCGTCAAGCGTTTCCAGCAGCGGCGCGAGCGAGTGCTTCCACGGTGCGCAGTCGTTGTGGGACGCGTCGCGTGCGGATGGAGGCGGAGCGCGAGCGAGGCGACGATCACGCCTGCGCGCCTGTCGTCGTCGTCATCCTCCCTTCCTTCCTCCCCTGCTTCCCCTTCCCCCCCTTCCCCATCCTCCCCGTCTTCGCACTCCCCGTCGACGTCCCCGCTCGCAACCGTGCACCCCAGCGCGATCGCCACCTCGGCCGCGTATCCGAACAGCGGGGCGGACGCAGGCCCGACCTCGAGCCCGCTGAGCCCGCTGCCGTACGCGCAGCACTTCCCCTTGGGGGCGGCGGGGGTGCTGACTTCTCTTTCTCTTTCCGCTAATTCGCTCGGCGCTACGCTTACTCACCGGCTCCGTGCCTGTGCATCACGCGAACGGCTCCGACTCCGCGAACGCCGTCATCTCACCACCCCCACACGAATACCTCCTCGAACCCGACCTCCCTCCCTCTTCCCTTTTGCCTTCTCGCACGCCGCGCACTTCCGCACCTCGGCGCGCATGGGCGCGGGCGTGGGAGATGTTTTTGGGTAGGTCGCGCGCCGCCTCCTGCTGTCCCATGCGTTGGCGGAAGGGGAGTTGGCGTACGAGAGGGATCCGCGGGTGTCGCTTGTTTGGGCGACGAGTGGGATACGGAATGGGGGGAATGGGGCGGAGGCGAGGTTGAGGGGCAAGGCAGGGAAGGAGGGGAACGGTGGGTGTTGTTAGGAGGGTCGGGAGGGGTGTTGTTAGCACGGGCGTGGAGGGTAATTTAAGGGACAAGGGACAGTAATTATTTCGTTTACTTATAGCTTTCGGGGTTCTATCGTGCGGGGTCGGCTGGAACTGGGGCGGGGCGGAATGTGAGTGAGGTGGTCGGACCTGATGCGAGTGAGTCGGTCGGACCTGCTGAGCGCTGTCTGTCGTTTGAGGGAGGGAGGAGAAGGTTGTAATCAATGGACTATACATACAAAATGTAGCCTGCCCTGCTGAGTATAATATACGCGCCGATGGTACACACGCTATGCCTACTAAGAAGGCGAATGGTATCGATGGCGAGTTGGGGTTCGACTCCCCGCCGGCGCATGTATTGGTATAGCGAAGGTTTTTGATTATGTGGACGCGCTCGGCTCCCCCAAGTGGTGTTGCTGTCGAGGTAACGCCGGTTAAGACCAGGGAAGCAAGCACGTTCGGGAGAGGCTGGGATTCAGACCAACCGCGACGATTTTGAATTTTTGAACTGGGAGATATCCAATGCCGCTCATAGGGAGGCGAGGATTCTTACGTGCAGAGTGTCTGCACCGGTGGTGTACGGTACACACGCTATGCCTGCGATGTATGCACGTGCTGCGAGTTCAGTGGCGAGTCCGGGGTTCGACTCCCCGCCGGCGCATCCGGGCCATCATGTCTTTTTCCCCTCTCGCAATCGATTAATGCGCTGGTAAAAAGAAGCGAAGCCTTACGTGCGGAGTAGGAGCGCCAGTGGTGTACGGTACATCCGCGTTGCCTGCAACATGATAGTTAGGAATCTCATGGCGAGTCTGGGGTTCGACTCCCCGCCGGCACATGCTCCCGGAATATCTTGGTTTTTTGATTTCTTGGACGCGCCCGTTTCGCGGAGTCGCAGCTCGCGGAATTGTTGTTGATAGCGAGGATGCGTGTAGGCAAAGTATGCGCGCTGGGGGTGTACGGTACCCGCCTCGTCTCTTCGGAATGTTTGATTAGTGAGCCTTTTGGTATCGAATTACACATCGGTGGCACCGAAATTTGGCAATCATCGGTGTGATTAGGCAGGAGTTCAGACCGCGGTCGCGGGAGTCGCCGTCGTGATCGTGAGGGCTAGTCCGTTTTTAAGTGATGGGTCCCCTTGGGGTTGAGCCTTATTACATAATCACGTTTTGAGGCCCTTGCCCCCGCTCTTAAATCTTGGGAATATTCACGTCGTAAAGGAACAGATGTTTAATGTGTGCCCAAATATTTCCATATTTTTGCGATGCCATGGGACAAAGCTATTGACGAGTCAAATTGATGGGTTTTGGCCCGTTGATGTCCCATCACATTGAAGGATGAGCCCCTGCACTCATTCAAGCGGCATTCAACAAATTTTAAAGAGACAGATCATTTCTAATATACTCCGAATTTTAGTTCCACCCCAAGAAACTAGAGAAAGAGGTGCCGCATAGCGAAAACGGCACCAGGGCAGCTAAGCGAAGATTATGTAACAAGGGCCAACCCCAATCGGGACCCATCACTTAATAACAGACTTCAACACATCGAGGTACGAGATCATACACACCGGGGGCAAAAGCCAGTGCATGCGGAAACGACATGCGTCAAGCGCATGTCGTCCGCACTTGGTCGCGTCCTTGGATCAGGGATTGACAAAGGTCTCAATCGCCGTTTTGGCACCTTTGTTTTTCAGGGCAAATTAAAAGGGAAAACAAAGGTACCAAAGAGGTGATTGACACCTTTGTCAATCACTCATCCAAGGATGTGACCAAGTGCAGACGACATGCGCTTGACGCATGTCGTTTCTGCATGCGCTGACTTTTGCCCCTGGTGACAGTGTTGAAGTCTGGCTCTGAGAGACTACGTGAGGGCAGAATAAAGTTCAAACGCTGGATTAGGCAGTCCAGACTTGGTCCAGACCGTGTGATGGATCACCGGATATTGCCGTTATGATCGGAGATCTGGAATTTTTGGCGACAAACCCAATGACAAACCTTTTCAATAATGCCCAAATTCGGATAGGGGCCTGAGGCGGAAGTGCATCTGACCCCATTTAGCACTTATGAATCCAAATGATCTTGGTTCCTCTCCTTTGGTCCTCCGCGCCAACTTCGCGCGTATATATATAGTTTTTCAGCATCATGTGAACCGGTTTGTTTTAGTGCGTTCTTGGCCTGTGGACGGTCCTCCCGCACCTCCGAGGTCATTCATGAATCATGACAACCTCAAGAGTCAATGTGCATACTACAGACGCTTCCTCGGCCTACAATCACCTAGCTCATATCTCCGTCGCATTCATCCGCACAGTGAGATCTTGTCCAACTAAATCGATTCGAATGCTTGGACTGTGCTGTATGTGCTACGCCCTGACGGCGAACGCTGGCAGTTATTTTTGAAGACCTGCGGTATGGATCGTACTTATAGATGAGCGATTTCGGTCCTGGAGCACTCTATCCTGACAGGAATGCCCCCTCCACAGTTTAAAGCCATTATCGAGTACACCGCTTTTGCGGCTTCAACAGCAAAGGAAATCGCGACATCTGCGGGCGTCCCTTTCCTGGGGTCCATTGCGTCTCTTACGCTGGGTATCCTGAACGCAGTCGAGGTGCGCAGACATCTTTCTTTATCACTGAAAACTTATTTTTCATTGAAAATAGACGGTTCGCACCAACAAAGAGCAATGTTTTCAACTAGTGGATGAAATTCATACCATGTTGTGTGCAATTATCGGAATATATTCAATATCTGTCGATAACGGAGGACTTTCCCCCGCCTTGTTGCGCGACATTGGCAACTTCGTGGAGTGCGTCCATCTATTCAGCCCTCTGACCATGCAGCTAAATCGGTACTGCAGGACGTTGCAAAGGATCTATTCGGCCGTCAAATCTCAGCAAGCCATGGGGAAGATTAAACAGCTTTTTAAGCAGCCAGAAATGGTGTCCAGACTCAGCTCTTGCCAAGCAGAGCTTCAACAATCACTCGAAAATTTTCAAGTGCGTGTCTTGTTCAACTCACCTGGACTGATGGGGACGTCTTCGCAGATTCAGACCGGGATTCGTACCACAATCGAGACATCCCGAGTTCAGAGAGACGCAAAGCAGCAACACGAGGAATTAATTGCCCTTATCACTGCACATCCAGATCTTACCAACTCGGAGGGATCCTCGTCGGTCGGTGTTCTGCTTCTAACGCGAACAAGTATTGATTTCATTAAGGGTACTCGCACGACAATCTCCCACTCCGGCCAGAGGTATTGTTCTTCAGCCATGCACCTAGCCCTAACTCATTTATGAACCCAGCACCCTCTCGCTAACCATCCTCCCCGGCCGGCCCAAAATATTTCACGGACGAGAGAGCGAGCTGCGGGACGTGATAGGTATCCTCACACAAGATACGCCTGCGCGCATCGCAATCCTGGGGCCGGGCGGGATGGGTAAGACGGCCCTCGCAACAACCGTCCTCCATCATCCGGATATAATTACCAAATACACTGAACGCCACTTCATCTCCTGCCACGCAACCGCCACCTGTCAGGCGCTTATTGCCCTCCTCGCGGACCATCTCGGCGTTGAGCACGGCTCGCATCTTGCAAGGCGGATTGCCAGGTTCTTGGAGTGCGCCCCACCGATGCTACTGGTGCTCGACAATTTCGAGACGCCGTGGGAGAGTGAAACGCGGGCTGATGTGGAGGAGGTTCTCGCCATGGTGACTAAGCCGGCACATGTTGCACTCGTGGTACGAATCCTCCTTTGCACATGTGCCTCCCTTTATCGTTGTTTCAGTTAACGATGAGAGGCGCTGAACGACCCGCCAAAGTCAAATGGACGCGCCCATTCCTGCTTCCATTACGTCCTCTCGAGGACACCCCCGCTCTCCGAACATTCATTGACATCGCGGGTGAAGACCAAGAGGAGAGCTTGATCAGGGAGGTCTTGGAACTCACGGGCAACCTGCCGCTCGCTGTGAGCCTCATGGCGAGCGTAGTTTCGCACGAAGGGTGCGAGAAGACCCTCTCCCGCTGGAACGCAGAAAAGACTCGCGTCCTATCCGACGGCTACGACAAAGGCTCTAGCCTTGAGATCTCGCTCATGGTGTCCCTCACAAGTTCCAGAATGACCCCGGAGGCCCAGTCCCTGCTCAGTCTCCTCAGCATCCTGCCTGACGGACTGTCTCAGTCGGAAATCCTGCACAGCAAGCTACCCATACCAAACGTTCTCACCTGCAAATCCACATTGATCAAAACGTCCCTTGCTTATGTCGACAATTCTGAAAAGCTGAGGGTTTTAGTACCGGTCGCCGAATACGTCCGTGAAGTGCACCCCCCGTCTTCCGCGTTAAAAGCAGCACTTCGCCAACACTACCATGAAATCCTCGATTTGTGGCGCATGATAAATCCCGCACATTACCGCGACATCGTTGTCCGACTCCTGGAAAACTTTAATAATGTCCAAGGTGTGCTCTCCGACGCGTTATCGGCCGGGTGTCTAGATTATCGCCAGACCCTATACAGCGCGCTGGTATTCGACAAATTTTTTGGGGTGGGACAGCTGATAGGCTCTTTCGATCCGTACCTTCCGGAATGGGAAACCGATCCGGTGTATGGAAGGTATCTGGTGCAGAGGGTGGCGATGGCCACCCCCCAGAAAGATCGGGAGGTCCAAGCCGAGATTACACGAGGACACAGTTATTTTGAGCATGCGAGCCCCTGGGCCAAAGGTAAGCTCAGCACGGGCTCCAGGCAATTTTCACAAGCTGATTCTGCGGCAGTCGAATGGTACAAGGCTCTTGGTCGTTATTATTCCAAGCTGGACCAGCCCGCCGCAGTCCATTGGTTTCGGCAGGCAATTTCAGCGGGAAGTGCAGGCGAACCTCGACCTGAATTAGTCGCGGATAGCATGTGCTGTTTGGCAGAGGTGCTGAATGACATGGGGAAACATGCCGCCGGGAGGATTTGTGCCCTAGAAGCCAGAAAGTATGCTCAAGACCTCGGTTCGGTGGTCAAGAAGTCCCATGCAATGACCATGGAGGCTACGTGTTGTATATCAGCGGGGGACTTGCCGCATGCCGGACACCTTCTCAATCAGGGGAAGAAGCTGCTGATGCTATGCGGCCTGCAACAGTCGTTTCCTTACTCATGTGTCGAAAGAGTTCAGGCCCAGGTGGCCCTACTCCAGACGGACTACGCCGCTGCTCGCCTACTGAATTCCAGAGTCGGGCAGGCTGCTGGAGGCTGGATTGCGGCAACCGCTCGGTTGACCATTGCGCTCATAGATATTCAGATGGGCGGGGGAGCAGGGCCAATCCGTGCGGAAATAGAACACTGTCAGGTGTTGTTCGAAGGCCCGCTGGCATTCCCTTCTGGTGTAATGGCCTGTGACGCGACACTTGTCGAACTGGAACTCCGTGAAGGAAACTTACACGGGGTGATGGCCAAGCTCGAGGCATACCTCGTGGCATCCCGGACAAAAGACACCGAGGTGGAAATATTCTGCCTGGAGCGGCTAGCCGATATCAGACTCGGGTTGGACGACATTGATCCAACACTGAAATGGGCGATCATCTTCTTGGCCTCTGCGTTGTCCAGTCAAAACAGGTTGGCTGGCATGACGGCGCTGCGTTGTTTGGGAGAAATTTTCTCGGTGCAAGAGGAGAACGACAACGCAC